AGGCTGGAATCGGGGGAGCTGGAGCTGCTGGGAGCTGTCTGCCCTCACCCCGCTGTGTGCCAAAAGCCCACATCGGGATCCTTTGCAGTATTCCAGCCACCTGGAGTTTAAATTGGAGCTTCTGGGCTCCTTTTGGCTGCTTCCCTTTTGGCTTTGTCGTTCGTTGGGGGATTCTCTGAGGAGAGGGGGCTGGAAGGAGTTGGGAAGTGAGGAGCTCGAGGGGGAGAGCCGGGTTTCACTGCTTCCACGCCGCTGTGTGCCAAAAGCCCACATCGGGATCCTTTGCAGTATTCCAGCCACCTGGAGTTTAAATTGGAGCTTCTGGGCTCCTTTTGGCTGCTTCCCTTTTGGCTTTGTCGTTCGTTGGGGGATTCTCTGAGGAGAGGGGGCTGGAAGGAGTTGGGAAGTGAGGAGCTCGAGGGGGAGAGCCGGGTTTCACTGCTTCCACGCTGGATATTTCATGGAATTGCAGCCCCAGCGCTGCTCTGTGGTCCCACCCGGGGGAAAGCCTGATGATTCCAGGGTGGGACTCGGCTGCTGCGAGCTCCTGCTTCCCTCTCACTGACTCCTTCTGGCTTTGTTGCTTTATGTTTTGGTCCTTCCCAAGGTTATCATTTCCCAGAGTGGGCTTACAAGACCGAGTCCAGCCCCGGCTCCCGGCAGATCCAGCTATGGCATTTCATCCTGGAGCTGCTGCAGAAGGAGGAATTCCGCCACGTCATCGCCTGGCAGCAGGGAGAGTACGGGGAGTTTGTCATCAAGGACCCTGACGAGGTGGCCCGGCTCTGGGGGCGCAGGAAGTGCAAACCCCAGATGAACTACGACAAGCTGAGCCGGGCGCTGAGGTGAGCAGGAGCTTCCCCAGCCCTGGAAGTGGCCCGGGATGGGGCTTGGAGCAACCCGGGCTATGGAAGGTGTGCACGGCTTTAGCTGAGCTTTGCGGTCCCTTCCATCCCAACCCATTCCCTGAGGCTGTGCCATGCCCTGGCTTGGAGAACTGAGTGCGGAGAGTCCATCCCGGGAGGTTTGTATCCCGTTTTGAGGGTGGGATGGACACCCCCTGCTTGGAATGGGATGAGAGGAGCAGAGTCCCCCGCTCACCACATCACGTCCTGCGGGTGCTGCAGATTCACACCCTGGTTGTCATCACCCGGATGGTTTCCTTCCGGGAAGCTTTTCCCTGTTCTCTGCTTCCATGGCTCCTGGCTTGAGCAATGGGGGTGTGGGAGGAGGCTCCACTATCACACCATCAAGGGGACTGTTCAGAGAAAGCAGCTCCCCTTTCTCACGCTCTTTGTCCTCGCCTCTTTGCCTCTAAACCTGTGTGAGGCAGAGCCAGTCCCGAGGCCAGGGCTTGGAATGGTGTGGAATGGTGTGTTTCCCAAGCCCAGGTTTCAGGACCACACCACCCCCCCCCAGCATCCCTTTGTATGAGATGGGTTGAGTGCTCCTCACTCGCACTCCAAAGCCTCCAGTGCAGCTTCGTTTAGACCTTTCCTTAAGTGGTGCTTGGTTTTCCCAGTGCCTGATGTGATGACAGTGGAAAACTACCAGGACCTCCTGAAGTATCCCAGGATTTTGAGGCTGGGTTCCTGACAGCTCCTGGCATTATCAGTCCATGACATGGACTTCGCTGCCTTTACGCCCTCTGATACCTCCTGGGTGGAGCTGACAAAGACAAACAAGGCAGCAAACACAAGCCTCTGGTTCTGGAACAGGAAGGAAACAATAAAGTGAACAGCACCGAGGCTGTAATTGGTGCCTGGGAGTGGAAAACCCCTTCAAACCCTCCTCTTGTCCTGGCATCTTGGTGCTGAGGGTGGCAGCAGGAGCAGGTCCCCGCAGCCGCCTTGGCTCCCACTTGGAGCTGGCCCTGCTGTGCTTGGTGGCACTGTGGCAACAGGCCCTGTGTGCACATCAGCCTCCTGAACACCAAATGATCCCCGTGTAACACCTTTGTTTGGACACCAGCAGGAGGAGGCTGAGGACAAACAGCGGTGGTGTAAGTGGGGAGGAGGCTGTGGTGGGGTTTACACCCGCTGTCTCCAGGCTCTGGAGGGGGAGGAAGGGAGCTGGTGATCCCAGAGGCTCCCAGCCCCTGCTCTCCGCAGCCCAGCGCCGCCCGTGAAGGCCGTGGAATGTTTGTAATCCAAAGGGATAAGCAGAAGGGAGCAGTGTTAGGATACCCTGGGCCTTGATGGCACAAATGGCCCCCAAATCTGGGGCTGGCTGGGTAGTTTGCTCCCTTTCACCCAGCTCCTTCGTTGCCCTGAGCTGTTGCAGCCCAGCTTGGGTGCACGTTCCCCTCTTCCAGGTTTGGAGTCCGAGCACAGCTTCACCCGATTTCCCCCTTCCTGCCCCGGATCCAGGAGCATTCCCTTGGCAGCCACAGGGCTGGGGGGCCCTTGTACAAATGGGAACAGGGAGGTAGAGCCAGTGGGATGCTTGTAGAGACCCCCCCAAGCCCATGGCACTGGTGCTGGGTTGGACAAGGGTGAGAACAACATGCCCAGGCTTGGCCTTGTTCAGCTTTCCCCTCTCTTGAGGATTTCACTTTCCCCACGTGTTCTAAGGAGCATCATCCCTGGTGAGATGGTTTGAAACCTC